TCACCAGTGTGTGAATGTGTGTGTGAATGGGTGGATGACTGAATGTGTAAAGCGCTTTGGGGTCCTAGGGACTAGTAAAGCACTATACAAATACAGGCCATTTACCATTTACCATATATTGTATACATATACAACTAACTTCCTTGCTGCTTTTGTCTTTGATTTTGTGAGTCCAGCGAATGATGAACTGAATAACTTTGCTTCATTTTTTTAGGGGTGAAAGTGGAGGCATCAGAGCCTGCGCTACTGTTTGAGTCAAAGTTTAGTCATCCAGTGTGAGTTATTCACAAAGTTTAATCATGACACTGTGTCATGACCAATTAAGGTAATTAGAGTGGTGGACTCGATGACCTGACACAGTTTTAAAAGGTTTATTTAGCAAGAGCTCAGGATTAAACAACCACAGGAGAGCTTCAGTTCACAGAACAGGAGAAGACTTCTGTCAGACAGGAGAAGTGGGTTAAACCTTCATGCTAGTGCAATACAGTGCAGGAGAAATTTGTAAAAAAAAATTGGATTATTACTTGACATCTCACCTCCACAGGTGAGGCTAACAGTGGAGGGAGCAACCAGTCATATTTTCCAAGGACATAAAGAGATGGAGGGGAGTGGATGGGCAGGCAAGTTTTCAAGTAGGTAAAAACACAATTTCTCTTTTGCAGGAATGGACCTGGACTGGATGTGGATGAGTAGCTGGAAGAGCTACTTTTCCAACTCCACGTGAGAGCAAAGAAGAGGAAGAAAGCAAAAAGACCAGCCTGGTTTCATAACACCCTAGTGACTTAATAAGAAGCAGTCTCACCACATTGGTGCTCTGGGTTGTCAGTCTCACTTTTCTCCCACACCCCTTACAATAATAACATTTTTCACTGGTGGGGTTTTCTTTAATAGATAGGTGGTTCAGATATTGCCAGTTGGTGTCACCTGGTGACCTTTAAAATAAAATCCCAAAGAGTTATAGCAGCTTATTATTATCAGCTGCTATAACTTATCTTATTAAGCAGACATCAAAAGATCTGTACACTGTGGTCATAGAGGGATGAACATGGTCAACAGCAGTAGCAGCCTGAAGCATTAGTACAAGAGATGCTTTCATGTTATTTACTCCAAATTCTGACCCAACTGTTTGACAGAAATTAGACTTGCCAGACCAGGGAACATTTTTCAGTCTTCTATATAGTTTTGAAGCGCCCATGCGAACTGTAGCCTCAGTTTCCTGTCGTTAGCTTACAGGAGTTGCACCTGGCATGGTGTTCTGCAGGTGTAGTCCACCTTTACAAGGTTTGACATATGCTCTTCTGCATACTTCTGTTGTAACAACTGGTTATTAGAGCTTTGCAGTTCATCTTGACCATGTCTTCATGCCTAAATGCACTGAGCTGCTGCTACATGATTTGCATAAACAACACACTTGAATGGGTGTACTAAACTGAGTACATCAAGCAACTGCAGCAGACACATAAGCTTCCAGCTGTGCACTACTTTTGTTTGTTTTACTGGACTGCGACATTTTGTAAGACTCAATATTGTTTGTATTTTTTATTATTATTAGTGTACTTAAAAAAAAAACCCTAATACATATGAATTAAAAAACAATGAATAAAGACTATACTTTATTTTACCATGGGCTGTAAATAAGAAATGGATGTAGCTAGAGTAAGATTAACTGTTGGACTGTGAAAATATCATGTTCCAGCCTGAGGTTTGGAATTTAAAAGCATCTTTTTTTAAGAACCAGACATGATGTCATTTAGATAGGAGAGAGCTGGGGTATAAAGGAAGCAAAAACAGGCTTTAAATAAAATATACTTAATGAAAAAGTCAAAGGTCAAGCCAACCATCTCCTGCTTGGTTTCATATCACTTAGCAGTAAAAATGCCATTGAGGCTGATCTGCCAGAATTAATGACCTTATCATCCGCTCTAGCATAGCATTTTTCCTGCAGGTCACTAATGAGTATTTCACTCTGAATGCCACTTGTCATATTGGCAGTATACAGGTTAAGAAAGTTTGCCTTGCTTTCTGATATTAAAACAGCATAAGACTTAATTTATCAGCATTAACAATGAAAAAAAAAAGATCACCAATGAAACATTATGAAGTACAGCTCTGTGCATCCCAATAAAAGGCAGAGCTTTGGGTAGTGCAAAATGTTGGGTATAATCTGATAAAAAAAAAAAGTTAAAAAGCACGGCTTATCCATGTATCTGCAGGGACTGTCAAGCAACTTTTCCAGGTTAAGCGCTTTAATTATGACCACAATAAAGTCACACAAGAGATTAGCTGATGATGAAAATATGAACTAGTGCAACTTGTTTTAATCTTGGCTAAATGGCTTATGAGCAATTTTTGCTATTTTGGCAGTGAACACAGAAGAAGAGATCAGCTTATAGTTACGGGAATGTTAAATCTGACTAAATGCCCAATTAAACAAAGACAGACCGTGGCTGGAGCCAAGTCTCATTCACTGCTGCCATTAAATGTTATTTTACATGCGTATTATCTCATTAAAGAAATTCTTGGATTTTCAAAGAAAACTGGCTTACCCTGACAAGGACTCCAATTATTGCAAAACAGCCTGATTCAATCTGTCATCAGTTGATGTTTCCCAGTGTTTCTCAAATTTCAATGTACCTCTGTACGTGCAATATTCTCTGCATAAATGAGAGCAAGTTCATCACTGAGACACACATGACATCCTGGAGACACCATAACCAAGCTCGCTGCCTGCAACATCGTACAGCACGACCAGCCTGCCAGTCGGGCATTGATGATCTGAGAGAGAAATATCTTCGATGAGTGGGGGATAAAAAAAGAGCAATGATCTGTGACCACCTGCAAAATCTTCTGTTGTTGTTTATAGTTAACCTGTTGTTTCCTCTCTGTTGCACCTTTTGTGTCTTTCATTTGCACCAAAGCCGTTGAAATTCCTAACTACACAGATTTATATCATAAGGTTTAACTGACTGTATAAATTCATTCTTAAATCTAAACAGAAGTTAATCAGTAGAAAATGTAAGATTACAACAACTGGATTTGTATTATTATTATTATTATTTTTAATCAGATGCACTGCATTGCTCTATTTTGATGACAGATGTACATTAAATTGGTGGGAAATCTCTTACTGTTTGTGAATTAACAAAGCAAAAAGCTGAAGTTTTTATTCAATAAATAAACACATAAATATCTTCACATTACAACATCTTGCAGAACACAAGCTTCAAAATCCAGATATTTTCTTTAGCCTCAGTCACAGAAAGCAACACAGATTACACTAATACTAATGTGAAATATCCAAATGGCTCTCCTCAAAGATGTTTTTTAGAGCCTTCAGTCGAGTCAGATTTTGGTGCAGCACATTAAACACAGAACTGATTTTGGACATGCAGTCAGTATCAACAACATGCTGCATAGGCTCACATTTAATACAATCTGTCTGTACTAAGTCACCCTCAGCAAATGTGGCAGTGCTCTTTCAGATCATATAAGAGGCCTTCAATGTATTAATTGTGAGAAACCACAGGATTATTGAACTCAAGGTAAGCTATGATACAACATCAATTATATCGGAACATGAACAGATTTATAACACAAAAAGATTTCATTGAGAGAAACACATTCATTTATGGAATTATTTAAGCCATCATATCTTGCTGATCGACATGTCTGGGTTTGAGACATGCTTCATGATGTTGCTTTCGCTTACCACCTCTGTGCTTGCACTGTGAACATCTGAGGCAATCTGCCTGCGAGAGGACAGCCGAATCATTTGTACAAGGCGAGTGTTGTTTTCTAATTCAGTCCGTGCGTTTGAACTTTGACGGCATCTCCTCATACCCTTGTGAAAATGAATGGTAAACAGACCGTAGGTGATGGGATCTAGACAGGCATTGAAAAGGCCAAAAATAAACAGCATATGAGTCAGTGAATGCGAAACTGTCTTTTCCATTTTTTCAGGGAACAACCAATACCACAATCCAAGCAGATAGTACGGGGTCCAGCAGATGATGAATGAAGTCACAATGACAATACTCATTTTAAGTGTTCTCATCCGAGCTTTAGGGATGTTATTGTGGGATCGGCGTAGATGAACGTCTCTTGACAGGACTGGAAGAAAAGAAAGCACCATGTCTGTTACTCCACGTCTCCCTGAAAATACACATTCATGTGAAGAAAAGCCTGTTCACAGCACTCTATACACCCTTACTGCAATCCATAGGAATGATTCACTTGATTAAGTCATTATCAGCAAGTGTAAGCACCGCAAGGTCGACTGTACAGCAGCTCAAGAGCTACATCTAAAGACTCTACAGGTCTCAGTTAGCATGTTACGTTATGATGAATATGATCCCTTTTGGAAGGACTGCCAAGAGAAAGCCTCTGCTCACTGAGAACAACATGGCAGCACAGCTTAAGTTTGCAATGTGAACAAACCACAAGACTTGGAGCCAAAAGTGGAAATGTTTGGCCATGATTCACAGTGCCACATTTGGAGAAAACAAAACACAATCAGCACAAACACCTCATACCAGCTGTTAGTGGTGGTGGACAGGGGAGGATTTGGGCTGGTTTTGCTGGCACAGCACCTGTGGAACCTTGAAAACATTGAGCCAAACATGCAACAGGACTTTGGCACTCAATTACTAATATTCTCATGAAAATCTGCATAAAAAATCTGTTGGAACGCAAAATTACTGTCGAATTTATGAAACGGGCATATTTTGTTCCCACCACTATGCGTATGTTAGAAGATCAGAATCATTTAGAACCAGCAGCTTTGTGCAATCGCCACTGCTCAGTACCAGTTTCTCTATATAATTAAATATTTTAACCTTGAGGTGAAGCAGAAAAATCAGTCAAGATGTTGTAAGAGAGAAGCCTCAGTCAGTGTTTTGAACCCATTGAGATGGGGTTGGCAGCTTCTGCAGGCAATGCCTAACCGTTGCTATGGGGTTTGGTAGGTGGAAAGCCTACAATTTGGTGATGCAATGATTACGGACTTGATTGGTTGTTGTTTTGGTTATTGCAACAGGTAGAACAATTTGACAAACCACGGGTTTGTATTTATGGGAGGAAGTGTTATGGCCCTGTTAGGGCCTCCTCCTCAAGTTGCCTGTGTGGGCATCTCTCCTGCCTTACTGCCACCTTTTTCTTTTGTACAGCTGACTCACATCAGCAATTAAAGGTATTTAAAGGCAGAGAAAGGTGAGCTCTGGTGGCAGAGTGAGTGGTTGCAGCTAGTGAGCTGTGTGTTTGCGTGTTTTCAGCTAGTAAGATTGTTTTATTTTGTGATTGTTTCCTCCTGCTTGGTGGAGAGGAGTGTGTTTGGTTACTAACCCTGTTTTAACTTGCTTTTCAGTTTACTGATCGACGTTTGAGTTTTGTTTTGTTTCTTTAAATGGCTTGTCCGTCTCTTTTAGTTGAGTTATTAATAGAAAGTTATTAATAAAACTCTTTAATTGAACCATTTTGCCTCTGTCTCCTTTTTCTGACCCGGACACCTTTTGTTACTTTCCCTCATCGCCTGGACCCTTTTAGGGGAACGTAACAACCTCTAAGGCATGAAATGAGTAGAGAGTCTGAATGTAGAAAATTGAATAATAGAGTCTGAGGTGCAAGGAAGAAGCCAGAAGAAGCGTAGTTATGTGTTTCCATGGAGTGAAAAAATATAAATAAAAAAGCAAGACTGAAACTAAAATAACAGGAGTACTCAATATAATTTCCTCTGAGACATTTACTGTGCCTCAAGCAAAAAAATGTTTGGAATTAAAGTTGGTATGAAAAATACTAACGGAGTACAAGAAAAAGTAGAAAAGGACAAGGTGGAGGACAAGGACCAGCAAGCCTAATCTGTCAGCTCCACATGAGAAACTCACTGCAATGAATAAAATAAATCCTCATTCTCAAGAATCCATTTTCGGTACCAAGAAATTATACTGTAAGTGATGACATATGATAATAATAGAAGCTATTTTAAATGACTAATAAGAACATTTAACATAAGGTGATATAAGAGATAATGGAACAGGTTTGAACTCACAGACGGATTAGGGCCACGACTGCAGTGATGATGCTGCACAGGTCTGTTGTGGAGATGACAGATCTCCAACATCACCTATGGTCATGAGCTTTGGGTACTGACCGATACAATCGGCGGAAATAAGCTTTTTTCAAAGGGTGGCTGTGCCTTAGCAGCAGTATATTATTTTCTTTATATACCTTTTTTTTAATTCTGAGCTTTTTGTGGCTCAAAGTGGTTTTTACAACTGTAAACAATGACCAAAAAAGCATAATAATAATTTTAATTATTATTGTTATTATTAATAGGCCTATTTAACCATGCTGTCATTTGTTCTTATGCGTGGTCGAAGGGACTTCTGAATTTGTTCCTAAAATATGAACAAATTCAGGTATAAAAATACATTTTGGATTTGTGCGTGAAACATTCGTATTCCTCAACCTGAGTGAAATGCTGTGGCAGGACCTTAAGAGAACTTTATATAAACAAATGCCTACAAAACCTGAATGACCTGAAGCAACATTTCATACTTAAAGAAAAATGGGCCAAAGTTTCTCCACAATAATGTGAGAGAAAATCTTATTACTTATTACTTCAGGCTACCGCTGCTAAAAAATGACTGAATAATTCAGGTCTACTTTCTTTTTCGCGACTGTTTTTTGAAGCCTTTGAAAAAAAAAAAAAATAAACACTCACAGTTATTCCGAGCCATGCGGCTGGATATCTCAATGAGGATTCGTGTGTAGCAGAAGATCATGATGGCCAAAGGTAGAAGGAAGAGGCACACAAACGTGAACATGTTGTAAAGGGTCTCCTGCCAGCGTTGGACAAAACTGCCATGGGTGGTGCACTGGGTGAACTTCTCTGGCACCGTGATGGTCACATTGCGAAATATAAACATCTGGATAAAAAAAAGAGGAGAAAAGTTCTACTGAGCGACGGCACTGCATCCTCGTGATCTATCCTGTAGTCAAGCATGATGTAAGTGGATCATGAATATTAAGTGATCAGTTAATCTAATAAGAAAGTAAAACTGAACACACAGTGATATTTTACCATATGCTTGCATGCGCTCTAGAATAACACTTAAAGGTGTTTTCTGATCAAATGCTTGGGTCTGAAAATACTTGGTTAAGGCCTCATCTTTCATCCTGGGATTGACACTTTGCTGAAGTTAGCAAAGGATATTGGTTGTCTTTAAAACCCTTCAACAGTCTGGAAATGCTTTAAAAATTCAAATCTCTGCATGGAGGTGGTCTGGGCATTATAGTCCCTGCCATAGTTACTGTAAAAACATCTGAGGGATAATTGTGAATAAGCACAATTGCTTCTTTTTTTTGTCTGTTAAAATCATTTTTGTCTGTCTCACTGTCTTTACAGATCCTCTAATCGATAGTGAATCCACAGCCAGCAAGCAAAATGTTCATTCTGACACATTTTAAGGCAGTTGGACATCGTCAATAATTGTTGTCTAAAAATCTGTGAATAAGACCTGATGAAAGTAAAGCACCAAGTAATCGAACATGCTGCTTTTGCTGCTGGGCTGCAATGCAATTACTTGAGTGCTGCTGTGGCTCAGGTGGTAGAGGGTTATCCACTAATGACAGAAGTCAGTGAGATTTTGATGCCCTCGAACCAACCTTTTAGAAAAACATGTTGCTGGAAAACACGCTCAAAATTAGGACTTGTTTTCTGAGGAACAAAAACACTTTTCAGCTTCAGAATTTAATATTTGTTGTTGTCCTATATCAACTTAAAAAGAAATATTTGCATTCTGTTTGGAAAGCTTAGTTACAAATCTGAACTCATAATATGTTGCTGTTTTTACGTTAAAAAAATTAAAAAACAATTATATGTTTCACAATCTGAATGCTTCTAATTTTCAAATCTGCTTTATTATGCGTTTATGAAGATACACAAATAGACAGTCACAGTGTTTCCAGGGAAAGTCAAACCTCGGGGCTCAAGCATTTATTTTGGATTTGAGTATCTAAGTGTCTGTGGGAAGAGAAAAGAAACAAACAGCAGCTCCTGGCAATTTTGCTAAAACATAAACTGGAGTTTGTTGGCAGCTCTCACATAAATGAGAAACGTGTTGTAAATTGGTAAATGCATGCATTTTCTTCCCAGGTATGAATAGGCATGTGTGAGCAAGACACTTTTGTTATTAAAAATCGTACATACCATGAATGAGCCCAATTGAATTTATACACTTTTCATGGAAAAGTGTATAAAGTCATGTTTCTGATGAATGTTTATCAGTGTGGGACCCCAGTAAGATTCCCACCTGTACTAGAAGAGCTGGCATCTGGCTCCCTTCCACACTTTCACTTCCAGTTTGGCTCTCAAAGGAAGAACCACCCCGCTCCTCACCCAACATTTATACTTGTGAGAGAGCTCCTGACATTTTTCAGAACAAAAGTGGAGCAGGGTATTCATTTTTGAGAGAGAATGTGCTCATAATATAACAGTATGAGGCTGAAGGCCATGTCATTGCTATTGATGTTTTAAAGCGATGTAGACATCGCTTCAACAAATTGGTAAGGGGAGAAATAAAATGCCGTTGGCAGAATTTCAGTGGAACATCCAGTAAAAACGTTTAACCAGCAGTCTCTCTGGTTTTCAAGCTTAAATTGCTGAATGAAGTGCAACCTTATCTGTAATACAGCATATGCATATAACAAACCGTCCTTTTATATCACCTCCTAGCATTAGGGTATGTGTACAGTATATTAATTTACATGCTGACTTTCAGTATGACGCATTGGGAGATTTGTTAGTGTGACCTTACCCAGCAGAGAAATTATCATTTCACCTCTGGTAACTAAAGATCACACTGCTCTTTTGATACAAAGCTGGGGAAAAAAGTGAAGATATGCACACCCTGCATACCATCTATAAATTTTAGTATAATTCATGCATCCATAAAGTGTTCTGGGTTTAATCTTGTTCTGATTGTTTTCTGATGAAATCGTGGGACTCGAGCGTGCACGACTGCATTAACATTTGCATGAGCCTGTTCTCTTTTGATCTGTGAAGAGTTCGAAATAATCAAGAGAGGGGTTTTTTTTTTTTCTTGGTTTTCAGCGGAAGAGGTTTTGAGAGGTTGTGGACTTTGGTTACTCAGTGTTGTGCATTATGTGTACAGAGAACAAATTTGAGGGAAGATTTAAATTATTCGCTGAAATATATTCTGTGTAATAAGCCACTGAAAAAAAATACATTGCACTTGCAACATAAATATCTTTGTGTGTAACATACACTCACCAGCCAGTTTGTTAAGGTATACCTTGCTAGTACTGGGTTGGACTGCCCTTTTTGCCTTCAGAACTGCCTTAATGCATAATTAAACAAGATGCTGGAAACATTCCTCAGAGATTCTGGTCCATACTGACATGATAGCATCACGCAGTTACTGCAGCTATGTCGATATGAATCTCCAATTTCACCACATTCCAAAGGCGCTCTATTACATTCAGGTCCGGTAACTTTGGCCATTTGAAAACAGTGAACTCATTTTCATGTTCAAGAAAGCAATTTGAAATGATTTGAGCTTCATGTCATTGCGTTTTACCCTTCTGGAAATAGTCACTGGAAAATGGGTACACTGCAATCATAAAGGGATGGGCATGGTCAGCAAAGAAAATCAAGCAGGACTGAAAATGTGCCAATAAGAAGAAGATATCCCCCACACTATTACACCACCACCAGGACTCTATTGATACAGTACAAGACAAGATGGATCCGTGGTTTCATGCTGTTTACACATGTTGGGGTGGAAATTGAGACTCATCTGACCAGGCAAAGTTTTTAGAATCTGGTCCATCTAACTATCTAATTGTCAATATTTGTCCTGCCCACATATGTAGATCTCTAATTGGAGCACAACATTTGTAAAGCCTGAGTACAAGAGTTTTACAATAAACAGCATATATGGACAAATTTGCATTTTATGGCTGAAAAAGTCCACCTAAGAAACAGAGAGAGGAAGGAAAATGTCTGGCAGTGAAGCGAGGACAAGACAACAGAATATATAGGAATATGCAGAAGAGTGCAGAGGATTGATGTGGCGTTCCTGCTGGATCTTCCTGTTACAATGCAAGAGAGAGCATTAGAGGGGAGGTTAATACGAATCTGTGCCCCAAAGGAACCACGAGATAGCCAATGATTCACAGCACAGTACCTCTGTCCCTAGAAGACACATGTTTACCTCCTGCGGTATCTGATTTTTGATGCTGCTAGTTTACATGTTTTGTTCTAAGCAGTTTCAAATGGGTTTTTTTGTTTTGTTTTTGCTGTTGTAACTGTAGTTTCCTCTATTGCAGGGGTCACCAACCTTTTTGAAAGTGAGAGCTACTTCTTGGGTACCGATTAATGTGAAGGGCTACCAGTTTGACGCACACGTCTCAAATA